AACACGTCTTCTCCAAGGAATCACAACACCTCATCAGCAGGGGAACAAAATAGGATGGAGATGAGTGTGACAAACTGACAGAAGCAGGCTTCAGAAGGTTGGTAATAACAAACTTCTCCAAGCTAAAGAAACATGTCCTAACACAATGCAAGGAAGCTAAGAACCTTGAAAAAAAGGTTAGACAAAATGCTAACTAGAATAACTAGAGCACAACATAAATGAATTGATGGAGCTGAAAAACACAGCACGAGAACTTCGTGAAGCATACACAAGTTTCAATACCTGAATCAATCAAGTGGAAGAAAGGATATCAGAGATCAACTCAAATAAAGCAAGAAGACAAGATTAGAGAAAAAAGAGTGAAAAGAAATGAACAAAGCCTCCAAGAAATATGGGATTACTTGAGAAGACCAAATCTACTTGATCGGTGTACCTGAAAGTGACAGGGAGAATGAAACCAAATAGAAAACACTCTTCAGGATATTATCCAAGAGAATTTCTCCAACCTAGAAAGGCAGGCCAACATTCAAATTCAGGAAATACAGAGAACACTCACAAGATACTCCTCGAGAAGAGCAACCCCAAGACACATAATTGTCAGATTTACCAGGGTTGAAATGAAGGAAAAAATGCTAAGGGCAGCCAGAGGGAAAGGTCAGGTTACCCACAAAGGGAAGCCCATCAGACTCACAATGGATCTCTCAGCAGAAACCCTACAAGCCAGAAGAAAGTGGGAACAATATTCAACATTGTTAAAGAAAAGAATTTTCAACCCAGAATTTCATATCTAGCCAAACTAAGCTTCATAAGAGAAGGAGAAATAAAATCCTTTACGGACAAGCAACTGCTGAGAGATTTTGTCACTTCCAGGCCTGCTTTACAAGAGCTCCTGAAGGAAGCAATAAACATGGAAAAGAACAACCAGTACCAGCCACTGCAAAAACATACATTGTAATGACCATTGACCCTATGAAGAAACTGCATAAACTAACAGGCAAAATATCCAACTAACATCATAATGGCAGAATCAAATTCACACATAATGATATTAACCTTAAATATAAATGGGCTAAATGCCCCAATTAAAAAACACAGACTGGCAAATTGGATAAAGAGTCAAGACCCATAGGTGTGCTGTATTCAGGAGACCCATCTCAGGTGCAAAGACACACATGGGCTCAAAATAAAAAGATGGAGAAAGATTTACCAAGCAAATGGAAAACAAATAAAAGCAGGGGTTGTAATCCTAGGATTGCAATCCTAGTCTCTGATAAAACAGGCTTTAAGCCAACAACGAACAAAAGAGAGAAAGATGGGCATTACATAATGGTAAAGGGATCAATGCAACAAGAAGAGCTAACTATCCTAAATATATATGCACACAATACAGGAGCACCCAGATTCATAAAGCAAGTTCTTAGAAACCTACAAAGAGACTTAGACTTTAACACCCCACTTTCAACATTAAACAGATCAATGAGACAGGAAATTAACAAGGATATCCAGGACTTGAACTCAGATCTGAACCAAGCAGACCTAATAGACATGTACAGAACTTTCCACTCCAAACCCACAGAGTATACCTTCTTCTCAGGATCACATGACACTTATTCTAAAATAGACCATATAACTGAAAGTAAAACACTCCCCAGCAAATGCAAAATAATGGAAATCATAACAAATAGTCTCTCAGACCACAGTGCAATCAAATTAGAACTCAAATTAAGAAACCCACTCAAAATTGCACAACTACATGGAAACTGAACAATCTACTCCTGAATGATTACTGCATGAATAATAAAATGAAGGCAGAAATAAAGATGTTCTTTGAAACCAATAAGAATGAAGACACAATATACCAGAATCTCTGAGACACATTTAAAGCAGTCTGTAGAGGGAAATTTATAGCACTAAATACCCACAAAAGAAAGGAAAGAAGATCTAAAATCACCACCCTAATGTCACAATGAAAAGCACTAGAGGAGCAAGAACAAACAAATTCAAAAGCTAGCAGAAGACAAGAAATAACTAAGGTCAGCACAGAACTGAAGGAGAAAGAGACTTGAAAAACCCTGCAAAAAAAATCAATGAATCCAGGAGCTGGTGTTTTGAAAAGTTCAGCAAAATAGATAGACTGCTACCCAGATTAACAAAGAAGAAAAGGAAGAGGAATCAAATAAATGCAATAAAAAATGATAAAATGGATAACACCACCAATCCCACAGAAATATTAACTACCATCAGAGAATACTATAAACACCTCTATGCAAATAAACCAGTAAATCTAGAAGAAACTGATAAATTCCTGGACACTTACACCCTCCCAAGTCTAAACCAGGAAGAAGTGGAATCCCTGAATAGACTAATAACAAGGTGTGAAATTGAAGCAGCTACTGATAGCCTACCAACCAAAAAAGTTCAGGACCAGATGGTTTCACAACCGAATTCTACCAGAGGTACAAAGGTGAGCTGGTACCATTCCTTCTGAAACTATTCCAAACAATGAAAATAGAGGGGCTCCTCCCTAACTCATTTTATGAGGCCAACATCATCCTGATACCAAAACCTGACAGAGACACAACTAAAAAAGACAATTTTAGGCCAATATCTCTGATGAACATAGATGCAAAAATCCTCAATCAAATACTGGCAAACCGAATCTAACAGCACATCAAAAAGCTTATCCATCATGATCAATTGGCTTCATCCCTGGGATGCAAGGCTGGTTCAACATATGCAAATCAATAAATATAATCCATCACATTAACAGAACCAAAGACAAAAACCATGATTATCTCAATAGATTGCAGAGAAGGTTTCTGACAAAATTCTACAGCCCTTAATGCTAAAAATTCTTAATAAACTAGGTATTGGTGAAACATATCTCAAAATAATAAGAGCTATTTATGACAAACCCACAGGCAATATCATACTAAATGGGCAAAAACTGGAAGCATTCCCTTTGAAAACTGGCACAAGACAAGGTTGCCCTCTCTCACCACTCATATTCAGCATAGTATTGGAAGTTCTGGCCAAGACAAACAGGAAAAAAAAAAAAAAAAAAGGTATTCGGTTAGGAAAAGAGGAAGTCAAATTATCTCTATTTGCAGAGGACATGATTGTTTATTTAGAAGGTATTTAGAAGAACCCATCATCTTAGCCCAAAATCTTTACTGAAGAAGCTGATAAGCAACTTCAGTAAAGTCTCAGGATACAAAAATCAATGTGCAAAATCAAAAGCATTTTTATACACCATAACAGACAAACAGCCAAATTATGAATGAATTCCCATTCACAATTGTTACAAAGAGAATAAAATACCTAGGAATACAACTTACAAGGGATGTAAAGGACCTCTCCAAGGAAAACTACAAACCACTGCTCAAAAAAATAAGAAAGGACACAAACAAATGGAAAAACATTCCATGCTCATGCTTAAGAAGAATTAATATTGTGAAAATGGCCATACTGCTCCAAGTAATTTGTAGATTCAATGCAGTCCCCATCAAGCTACATTGCCTTTCTTCACAGAATTGGAAAAAACACCTTAATTTTCATATGGAATCAAAAAAGAGCCTGCATAGCCAAGACAATCCTAAGCAAACAAAACAAAGCTGGAGGCATCATGCTACCTAACTTCAAACTATACTATAAGGTTATAGTAATCAAAACAGCATGGTACTGGTACCAAAACAGAGATATAGACTAATGAACACAACAGAGGCCGCAGAAGTAACACCACACCCCTCTACAACCATCTGATCTTTGACAAACCTGACAAAAACAAGCAATGGGGAAAGGATTTCCTATTTAATAAATGGTGTTGGGAAAACTGGCTAGCCATAAGTAGAAAGCTAAAACTGGATCCCTTCCTTATACCTTACTAGAAAATTAACTCAAAATGGATTAACAATTTAAACATAAAACCTAAAACCATAAAAACCCTAGAAAAAAACCTAGGCAATACCATTCAGGACATAGGCATAGGCAAGGACTTTATGACTAAAACACCAAAAGCAATGGCAACAAAAGCCAAAATAGACAAATGGGATCTAATTAAACTTAAGAGCTTCTGCACAGCAGAAGAAACTATCATCAGAATGAACAGGCAACCTACTGAATGGGAGAAAATTTTGCAATCTACCAATCTGACAAAGGGCTAACATCCAGAATCTACAAAGAACTTAAACAAATCTACAAGAAAAAAAACCCACCCCATCAAAAAGTGGAAAAAGGATATGAACAGACACTTCTCAAAAGAAGACATTTGTGCAATCAACAAACATATGAAAAAAAGCTCATCATCACTGATCATCAGAGAAATGCAAATCAAAGCCACAGTGTGATGCCATTTCATGCTGGACTGGATGTGGAGAAATAGGAACTCTTTTACACTGTTGGTGGGAGTATAAATTAGTTCATTCATTGTGGAAGACAGTATGGTGATTCCTCAAGGATCTAGAACCAGAAATACCATTTGACCCAGCAATTCCATTACTGAGTATATACCCAAAGGATTATAAATCATTCTGTTATTAAGACACATGCACACATATGTTTACTGCAGCACTGTTCACAATAGCAAAGACTTGCAACCAACACAAATGCCCATCAATGATAGACTGGATAAAGAAAATGTGGCATATATATCTCATGGGATACTATGTATCCATAAAAAAGGGATGAGTTTATGTCCTTTGCAGGGACATAGATGAAGCTAGAAACCATCATTCTCAGCAAACTAACACAAAACAGAAAACCAAGCACCGCATATTGTCCCTCGTAAGTGAAAGTTGAACAATGAGAGCACATGGACACAGGGAGGAGAACATCACACACTGGGGCCTGTTGCGGGGTGGGAGGCTAGGGGAGGGAGAGCATTAGGAGAAATACCTAACATAGGTAATAGGGTGATGGATGCAGCAAACCACCATGGCATATGTATAGCTATGTAAGAAACCTGCACCTTCTGCACATGTACCCCAGAACTTAAAGTATAATAACGATAATAAAAGAAGCTATCTCCATAACACAGAAGTGCAAGGTGAAGCAGCAAGCACTGATATAGAAGTTGCAGTAAGTGATCCAGAAGATCTAGCTAAGATAACTGATGATGGCAGGAAAACTACATCACAGATTTTTAATGCAGACAAAACAGACTTTTACTAGAAGAAGATGCCATCTATGTCTTTCATAGCTGAGAGAAGACTATTCCTGGTTTCAAAGTTTCAGAGGACCGACTGACTAGTTGTTTCAGGGGCTAAACCAGCTGTTGACGTTTAAGTTGAAGTTAATGCTTAACCTGAGAATCCTAGGGCACTTCAGGATGATGCTAAATCTACTCCACCTGTGCTCCATCAATGGTACAACAAAGCTTGGATGACAGAATATGTTTACAGCATGGTTTCCTGAATATTTTAAGCTAACTGTTGAGACCTACTGCTCAAAAAAGGGATTCACTTCAAAATATTACTCTTCATTAACACTGCACCTGACCACTCAAGAACTCTGATGGAGATATACAAAGAGATTAATTTTTTTATGCATGATAACATACCATCTAGCCCATGGATCAAGGGGGCTTTTTGACGTTCAAGATCTATTATTTGAGAAATACATTTCATGAGGTTATAGCTGCTATAGATGTTGATTCAAATCCTAATGGATGACTTTAAGGGATTCAAGAATTCAGTGGAGGAAATAACTGCAGATGTGGAAGTAGCAAGAGAACTAGAATAAGAAGTAGAGGCTACTGAATTGCTGCAATCTCATCATAATACTCGAACAGACAAAAAAATGTTTTTTTATGGAAGAGAAAAGAAAGTGCTTTCTTCAGTTAGAATATACTCCTGGTGAGGATGCTGTGAACGTTGTTAAAATGACAACAAAAGATTTAGTTTAGACCGTTAAATAAACTTAGTTGACAAAGCAGTGGCTGGGTTTGAGAGGACTAATTACAATTTTTAAAGTTCTACAGTGGGTATAATGCTATAAAACAGCATCACATGCCACAGAGACTTCTTTTGGAAAAAGAGGAGTCAATTAATGTGGCAAACTTTACTACTGCCTTATTTTTAAAAATTACCACGGTCATCCCAATCCCAATGTTCAGCAGCCACCACTATGATTAGTCAGTAGCCATCAACATTGAGGCAAGACCCTCCACCAGCAAAAAGATTATGACTTGCTGAAGGCTCAGATGATGGTTAGCAATGTTTTATCAATAAAGTAATTTTTAATTAAGACATGTACATTTTTAGACATACTGCTATTGCACACTTAATAGACTATGGTATAGTGTAAACAACTTTTATATGCACTTGGGAAACAAAAAAAATCATTTCACTAGCTTTATTGTGATATTTGCTTTATTGCAGTGGTCTGGAAGTGAACCCTCAATATCTCCAAGCTATTCTTGTAAACATGGAAATCAGGCAGTCTAAGACCTCCAACATTACACTTCATTTGAAATTGTTTTGTCTCGTCTAGATGGTTTGCACCTCCATATCAAGTTTTGAATCTCCTTGTCCCTACCTAAAATCTTCAACAATTTTGAGTGGATTGCAAAAATCTATACATCAGTTTGGGAAGAATTTAAAACTCAACAATAAATCTTTCAATCAGTAAATATACTGTCCATTTGTATATGTGTTTCAAAATTTTACTCAGAAAAGTTTTTAGTGTTTAATATAGAATTCTTCCATATATTTTGTTAGATTTAGACTTTTTTACTATCTTGCCATTACTATAGATGGAATTGTTTAATTATTTTAGGATTCTATTTTATTAATATCTCTACTATGGGCATATTTGCTATATTGTTTTATTGTTGTTACTGGTTGATATAGGGCTTACAATATACTTCTTAAACCTACACAGTCTAGCTCTAAATAATGACAGCTTGCTTCATGCATAGGTTAATTACCTTACATCTGTAAGTCTCAATTATTCTCTTCGCATTTTGTGCACATTTTACTCCCACATGTTTCATAATACATGATATTTCTGCCACAGTTATCTTTTAAAAGATATTAAAAAGGGGAAAAATGTTGTATTTCCCAATACATTTATTTCCAGTGGCTCTTTTTGACGCTTTATTTGTTGTGTAGAGCCAAATTACCTTTTGGTATTGTCAAGGGCTCAGAGCTCCAGAGAACTGTGCCGCCAGGCGATAAAGTAACAGATTAAAACAATAAAACAAATACAAATAACAGTCAAGTCTTCATCACTCACGATAATAGTATAAGCAAGAAGAGAAATGTGAGAAAGTGTCAATTTCCTACCTTATTTTATTTTCTTCCATGGAATGGTGTTCCACTGAGGCTCTGGCTGATCAGCATAGATGCAGAGTTATCTCACTGCCAAGGGAGCCCTGAGCAAAAAACTCCCGCTATTTTGTGGAAGGGGTGGGGTAGGGGGAGGAGACAAGGGTGGAAAAAAACTGAGTAGCAAATTACAGTGGAGCAAAAAACTGAGTAGCAAATTAGAGCGGAGCAAAGTGTCTTCCAGGTCCCTCCCTCCCCCTCTTCCTCCATCTTCCTCCCGGCCCTTCCCCCTCCACCGATGATAAGGAGATCTAGACAGGGGAGCCTAAGGAGAGCCTCAGCTGAAGGTTTCCATAAAGAAGGCACCAAAAAGAGGCACCTGGTTTAGGAACTCAGATAATTTAAGAGCACGTTCTGCGGGGGGGCGGGGCTCAGTCCTTGTCTGCAGCTCACTTTAGAGACTGAAATGCACTAGCTATGCATCAAGCTAGGGAAAACTCATAATTGCCTATGGTCAGACTTGAAAAGAAATCACAGGTAGGTTTTTTACCAGGAGCTGGGCTTCTCAGGTATCATTTTCTTCTGCCTGTAGAGTGTCCTTTACGATGCATGTCTGCTAGTAATAAATTACTTCAACTTACAATTCTTTTATTGGTCTTCACTTGAAGGATGTTTTTACTGAGTCAGAAATTAGAGATTAATAGATTTTCTTTCATACTTATAAAATATTGCTCAACTATCGTCTAGCTTGCATTGTCTCTGAAAAGAAGTCTGCTTTCATTCTTTGTCTCTTATTCTTATTTATATTTTGGTCTTTTTTCTATGGCTGCTTTTAAGAATCTTTTTATATATGATATTCAGATATGATGTTCTGCTAACATGGCATGTCTGCTAATATGGCATGTTAAACACTTTAATAGTTTGGACAAACATATCTCCTAGCTTTATCAGTAATAAAATTTTATTTATTTTTCACAATACCTTTACTGTGTTGGGAGATGTTCAAAATTAAAATTACAGATGTTTAACAAACTTGGTGCTAGAAATCAACAATAAACATAATTAACTGACCAATAGTACGTGTGAAGAAATAATATAGGTAAAATTTACTGTGGGTTGATTATGATGTCTGAACATACAGTGATACAGAAGTCATTTCCTACAGAAAGCAAAAACCAGAACTAGAAGAAAACTTAAAAACAATCTAATCAATTGATTAATATTTAAATCTCTTCTACATCATTACTGTCAAATGATGATCCAGTCTTCTTCTGATGAAGTCTATTCCTGGTAAAGAGAGCTCTCAGGTTTATGAAGCTGCCCATTACATCTTTGGACAACGTTACTGTAACACTGATACAAACCAGCTTTCTTTGATATTAAGCATCTCAATTATTCTCCAAAAAGCATATTATAAATATTTAAAATCTTTAGTTCACTTTGGAAATGTCACCACTCCTAAAGTGGTATCCCTGGTTAAAACTATTTCCTGATATCATTTTGGCCAGAAGATATTTACATCTTTATGCATGTCACTTACCAGAGAGTTGGGGAAGAAGAAGAAATATGTGTTAAAAATATGCTCAATGGATCTGGAGCACTAGATCTGGAGAAACCCATTTTTATATTTGTATTTCAAATAAAACCTCTACATTCCTTAGCCCTTTCAAATATATTTATTTAGAAAAATAAAATAAATTGTTAATGATTACGTTTTCTTTCTTCCATAGAATATGTCATTAGAAAATAAATATCTACATATTCACATGGGCTTTTTTTTTTTCTTTTGCTTGACTTAGTATATATGGTCTAAGTAAAACAGTAGCAGACTACATGCATGCTGGTTATATACATATATTTTATTTTGAAATAGAACCTGAAAATCTAAAATGTTAAATTATACATAATTACGCCTAGAAATGGTTTTCTTTTGCTAAATAAATGGGTATTGAAGATTATGTGATGTTTACTCATTTTATTCCAACAATTTCAGATTATGAGAAAAAAATGAGAACATCATCTTCAAAAGTAATCCTTTGTATTAAAAGGTAAATCAATTTTTATATAAACATGGTTACCTGAACAAACAGTGAAAAATTTACATTTGGTTTGAAATCGTTTATTTACTGAACCATAATCTAGGTTTCAATGCACCAAATTTGAACATATAATGATATTATTGTCATCTGATGATGGATTGGCCTCACCACAGTTAAAGGGATTCTCTGATTGTGTTATGTAGAATAGCAATGATTATGATAAGCAAATAGCTTATGTGTCTTCAGGGCCCGGCAAATTTATGCTCCAGTGGAATTATGTTTTGCTATAGGAACAAGGAATAAGTCTACATTTGCTAGAAATCAGACTCTAACTTTAGATAAAGCATGCAGCTTCTCTTGGCCTTGAGTTTCTCATTTGTAAAGAGAGGTGTTTAACATCATGTTCAACTTCAAATTTTAACTATGATATTTTTGCTAACCAAGTAAACACAGCATTCAGTATATCAGGAATGTGTCTAATTAGAGAGACACAGCCTCAAGGAAAAAGGAGGCGACAGGACTGGAAAGGACAGGCAGTAAGACAAGGTAATGTGCCAGTTGTTTCTTCCTGTGCTGGTCACTGCTTTCTAATAAGCTGGAAAGACACAGTCATTCACACAGCAAGGGCAATTCTAACTTAAATAAACCAACTCTTTAGACGCTGCTTAGGAAGCCAGACTCCTGTCCCATGTAATGTAGCATCTCAACAACCTCAGAACAAATGGAAGTTGCGAGGGGGTCTAGGAGTGACAGAGTCAGCCACAGTGGTGGCTGAGGCACAGTGAAAAGCTGAGGTTCTTGAAGAAACACGAAGCCTCAAAACGATAAAAACCCTCAAAGACAACCTAGACAATACCATTCTGGACATAGGAACAGGCAGAGATTTCATGATGAAAACACCAAGAGAAATTGCAACAAAATAAAGAAATACTGGGATCTAATGGGATCTAAAGCTAAAGAGCCTCTGCACATCAAAAAGAGTGAATGCACAGTCTACAGAATGAACACACAATCCACAGAATGAGAGAAAAGTTTTGCAAACTATGCATCTGACAATGGTCTAATATCCCGTATCTATAAGAAATGTAAACAAATTTACAAGAAAAAAAATAACCCTATTAAAAAGTGGGCAAAGAACATGGACACTTTTAAAAAGAAGACATACATACAGCTAACAAGCATATGAAAAAAAAGCTCAGCATCACTGATCATTACAGAAATGCAAATGAAAACCGCAATGAGACACCATCTCACACCAGCCAGCATGGCTATTAGTAAAAAGCCAAAAAGATAATAGATGCTGGCAAGGTTGCAGAGAAAAAGGAATGCTTATGCACTGTTTTTGGGAGCACAAGCTAGTTCAACCATTGTGGAAAGCAGCGTAGCAATTCCTCAGAATTACCATCTGACCCAGCAATCACATTATGGGGTATATACCCAAAGGAATAGAAATCATTCTGTCATAAAGATACATGTATGCATATGTTCATTGCAGCACTATTCACAATAGCAAAGACATGGAATCAACGTAAATGCCCATCAGTGGTAGACTGGTTAAAGAAAATATGGTACATGTACACTATGGAATACTATGCAGCCATAAAAATGATGAGTTCATATCCTTTTCAGGAACATGGATGGAGCTGAAGGCCATTATCCTTAGCAAACTAATACAGTAACAGAAAACCAAATATGGTATGGTCTCACTTATAAGTGGGAGCTAAATGATGACAACACATGGACACATAGAGGGAAATACACAGCAGGGCCTGAGGGTGGAGGATAGGAGAAGAGAGAGGACCAGGAAAAATAATTGAGTATTAATAATGAGGCTTACTACTTGGGTGATGAAATAATGTGTACAACAACTTCCATGACACAAGTTTACCTATGTAACAAACCTGCATATGTACCCCTGAACTTAAAATAACTTGCATTTTTAAAAAAAAGAAACTTGAAAGACAAGCCAATGCCGAAAGCCCACAGTTTATCTTCCTTTATTGATAATTGACTGTTAAGAATATTTAGGCAATGTAGAAAATGAATTTCACATTGATTTTGTTTTCTAAACATATGCAAACATTATAATTATGCTATAGTATATTACTAACAAAAAATACATTTTGTAAAAGTTAAATGAGACATCTTTTGGATATCAAAGTGATAATGTCGGGGATGAAATTAGACATATAATTTGAAGCTTACAGGAGAAGGCTGAATTGCAGCTATAAATTTAGGTGCCATTAGTATATAGATACTATTTAAAAGCATGGAACTAGATAAATGTATTATACCTTTAAGGTAGTACATCATTTATCATGTATGTTATTCACATTCTCTCAGACATAAAACCTATGTAGAAACATGAGTGTTTTGTTTATGTTTTCCAGGAGATTAGAATAGGGTCTGGTCAGTGTGTATCAAAAATATTTCCAAGGCCGGCACAGTGGCTCATGCCTGCAATCGCAGGACTTGGGGAGGCCGAGGTGGGTGGATCATCTTAGGTCAGAAGTTCAAGACCAGCCTGGCCAACATGGAGAAAACCCATTTCTAACAAAAATACAAAAATTACCTGGGCGTGGTGGCGAATGCCTGTAATCCCAGCTACTCAGGAAGCTAAGGCAGGAGAATTGCTTGAAACTGGATGGCGGAGGTTACAGTCAGCCAAGATTGGGCCATTGCACTCCAGCCTGGGTGACAAGAGCAAAACTCCATCTCAAAACAAAACAAAACAAAACAAAAACAAAAATATTTCTGAATCTTGTTGAGAAAGGTTTATAACTTAAGAATAGAAGAAGGGAAAAGGAATAAAGGAAATTTAAGGAGAGAAAAGATATGAGGCAGTGTTCTGTTGAGTATCAAAGTCAATTGACTAGGCAAGTGTCAAATTGCTAGACAAGGCTGAGAGGTACCATTTGTGATTACTGTTCAGAATGAACCCACTCAATATGGCTATCTTCTCTCCAGCCACATTTATATACAGCATTAGAGAGGCAGAGTGCATTAAGAGTTGGGTTTAACTAAGGTAGGAGTTTCTCAGAAAAATGGTGGGGAGTGAGGGCAATGGGATTCATAAAATCTCAGCTGGCTGTGGGAATTAAAGACAGTAAAATAGTAATGGTATGAATAGGTTGGAAATCCTGATAGACAATACATTGTTTAAGTGTGAGATGGGGGGACTTAGCGTAGTTCATGAGGTGGAAATGCAGAGCTTAGTGGCCTGAGAATGAGATGATTAAAACTGAAATTCTGGGTGTGATGTAATTTTTGGAGTGTTAAAGTAAGGGACAGGAAGAGCTATTTGAAAGTAAGAGCTGGCCATGGTGGTTCACGCCTGTAATCCCAGCATTTTGGGAGGTCAAGGCCAGTGGATCACCTGAGGTCAGGAGTTCAAGACCAGCCTGACCAATATGGTGAAACCCCATCTCTACTAAAAAAAAAAAAAATGTATACAAAAAGAAAATACAAAAATTAGCCAGATGTGGTAGCACATTCCTGTAATTCCAGCTACTTTGGAGAATAAGGCAGGAAAATTACTTGAGCCTGGGAGGCAGAGGTTGCAGTCAGCCAAGATTGCACCATTGCACTATAGTCTGGGCAACAAGAGTGAAACTCTATCAATAAAGAAAGAAAGAAAAGAGAGAAAAGAGAGAGGAAGGAAGGAGGGAAGGAAGGAAAGAAAGAAAAGAAAAAAAGTAAGATAAACGAACTAGAATATTTTTTCAGAGTTCAAATTCCAAATAATATACAATTGCTACTAACAGGAATACCCAGTGCCTCCTGATGTTCAACACATTATGTCTTATTCACACAGCTGATCAAACATGTGCATTTTCACATACAGGCCAGATTGTCCCCAAAGCACATAGTAATTACACAGCAGAATGCTCCTGACTTCTATGTTTGCAGAGTCCCAAGACGAGGTGCTCTTTTAGACTCCAGAAGGGAGAAAACTAAACTCGTCCTATTGTAGATAGAGTTCATATCTAATTAAATTAAAGAACAGATTGAATAGTTTAACATATTTCAACATTCCTATGGCATTGAAAATCCTTTGGTTGGTAGCTGTGTAAATCAACAGGAAATCAGGGGAAGGCAGAAATGAGATAAATATTTAGAAGTGGAAATAACAGGCAGTGCTATTTCTAAAATACCTCTATTGCTTACATGGTAATACCAGTAATTAAGATATGATTTAAATAAGTTATTAATGCATTATCAAAGCATAATTTTAGTGAAAACATGATTTAACAGATACCTAAACTTTTATAATCAGCTCTTCAATTTTAAGAAGCTAAAACACACAAAGGAGAAAAGCATAGATCTTGAGTAATACAGCTTTCCCCCATCTTTAAATTCCAAAAATACAAATCATTGTTAATCACCATGCCCATGTGACATCCAAATACAGTTCATCTTTGAGACATGTAGCATAAAAATGACATTGACATTAAACATCATAATTTAAATACAGATGCATATGTACATAATTACCAAGAAGTTAAAGTGAATGGAATCCTTCATGTTTTGCCACTTACCATTTTTTGTGAAAATTCTCACATACACTCAGAAGCAAGAATTGTTTTATAAGCCCATTATATCCATAATGCAAATTTTGCAATTATTAAGATTTTACCACTTTGTTTTATTCCTTGCTTATTTTGCTATTTTTTTAAATTATAATTTAAGTTCTGGGGTACATGTGCAGATCGTAACTAGTTTGTTACATAGTTTGCTACACGTGCTATGGTGGTAGTTTGCTGCATCCATCCCCCCGTCATCTACATTAGGTGTTTCTCCTAATGTTATCCCTCTGTATCCCCCCCACCCACTGCTATTCCTCCCCTAGTCCTCCCCACACCCCAGAAGGCTCTGGTGTGATGCTCCCCTCCCTGTGTCCATGTGTTCTCATTATTCAACACCCACTTATGAGTGAGAACATGCAGTGTTTGGTTTTCTGTTCTGTGTCAGTTTGATGAGAATGATGGTTTCCAGCTTCATCCATGTCTCTGCAAAGGATACGAACTCATCCTTTTTTATGGCTGCATAGTATTCCATGGTGTATATGTGCCACATTCTTTATCTAGTCTATCATTGATGGGCATTTGAGTTGGTTCCAAGACTTTACTACTGTAAACAGTGCCACAATAAACATACGTGTGCATGTGTCTTTATAATTGAATGTTTTATAATCCTTTGGGTATATAACCAGTAATGGGATTGCTGGATCAAATGGTATTTCTATTTTTAGACCCTTGAGGAATCACCACACTGTCTTCCACAATGGTTGAACTAATTTACACTCCCACCAACAATGTAAAATCGTTCCTATTTCTCCACATCCTCTCCAGTATCTGTTGTCTCCTGATTTTTAATGATCGCCATTCTAACTGGTGTGAGATGGCATCTCAATGTGGTTTTCATGTGCATTTCTCTAATGACCAGTGATGATGAGCATTTTTTCATATGTTTGTTGGCTGCATAAATGTCTTCTTTTGAGAAGTATCTGTTCATATCCTTCACCCACTTTTTGATGGGTTGGTTTTTTTCTTATAAATTTGTTTAAGTTCTTTGTAGATTCTGGATATTAGGCCTTTGTCAGATGGGTAGATTGCAAAAATTTCCCATTCTGTTGGTTGCTGGTTCACTCTAATGATTGCTTCTTTTGCTGTGCAGAAGCTCTTAAGTTTACTTAGATCCCATTTGTCTATTTTGGCTTTTGTTGCCATTGCTTTTGGTGTTTTAGTTATGAAGTCCTTGCCTATGTCTATGTCCTAAATGATATTGCCTAGGTTTTCTTCTAGGGTGTTTATGGTGTTAGGTCTTATGTTTAAATCTTTAATCCAGCTGGCATTTATTTTTTATAAGGTGTAAAGAAGGTAACCAGTTTTAGCTTTCTTCTATGGCTAGCCAGTTTTCCCAACGCCATTTATTAAATAGGAAATCCTTTCCCCATTGCTTGTTTTTGTCAGGTTTGTCAAAAATCAGATGGTTGTAGGGGGTTGTGGTGTTACTTTCGAGGCCTCTGTTCTGTTCCATTGGTCTATATCTCTGTTTTGGTACCAGTACCATGCTGTTTTGATTACCGTAGCTTTGTAGTATAGTTTGAAGCCAGGTAGCTTGATGCTTACAGCTTTGTTTTGTTTGCTTAGGATTGTCTTGGATATGTGGGCTCTCTTTTTGTCCCATAGGAAGTTTAAGGTGTTTTTTTTCCAGTTCCGTGAAGAAAGTCAATGGCAGCTTGACTTTTCTTCACAGAATTGGAGAAAAAATTGGGGATAGCATTGAATCTATAAATTATTTTGGGAAGTATGGTCATTTTCATGATACTGATTCTTCTTAAATATGAGCATTG